GATAGATACGAATCGGTTTGGCGGTTTAAAAGTTTACAAATTTTCAACATAATTTAATTGTGTGCGCACTTCCTAAAAAAAAAAAAACAGGGCATAATTCAAGTTTGCATAATTTAATATTCAAGTGGGATAATTCAAGCGTGCATAATTCTGGTAGTGGCATAATTCAAGTGTGCTGTGCATAATTCCAGTGGGCATTTCTTAAACAACTTGGGCAATGCAAAAATAACCATGTGATGAATTGTTGCATCGAATTTCATCCCAGCAGCAGCCAGAAATCCAAAAAAACTTGGTCAAATGAATTCCAAATGAATTCATGTGACCGCCACTTGGTCAAATGAATTTCATCCCAACAGCAGCCAGAAATGAATTGTTAAACAACTTGGTCAAATGAATTTTTGCATGAGGATTCAGGAATACAGACGTGAGAAACCAACAGCAGCCAGAAATCCAAAAAAAAAAACAAAAAAAGAGGAACAGCTTTCTATATCTCAGCCTCTTAACAGATTTCATTTGACCAAGAATTATTATTTCAAGGATTACCACTTCTGAATAATCAAGAACATTTGATATTTCGGTTAAAGAACTGGGACATCTAAAGCTTGCTCCCAAGTGACCCCAAAACTAGTATGCAGGCTGAAAACTTGATGCTAAATAAGACCTAAGATTTCTAGTTTCGGAAAGCAGTTAACACATAGTAGGAATGCAACTATGTATTCCAGAGGTGGGAAGGGATTCACATCCTTACATTGTGGAAATTATTCCCAGGTAAATTAGAAAACTCCAGACAGAAATGGCTTCTTATAACCCAATCAAGGACATGCATTTAAAATCTCGCAGTGGTGAATCGAGAAGACCATAGCTAGGACCCTTCAACTCATGTTTCAGCCTATATTCAAACCCAGTCCCTATTTGAGTAAGGCTTTCCTTTGATTGCTGAAAGACCTGGGGCTAAAAATAAAAGTAAAAATGTATATTTATTCAAACTTTGAGTCTCAAATCTTGTGTCATTTGGAAACCAAAAGAAGATAACATCCAGCAGTGGAGTGCAGATCATTTTAATTTTCACTATAAGAAACAACATAAAACACAATTTTTTATTTCATTTTTGTTTCTTCTCCTTTATCAGCGATCAACCCCACAATAAATGAGGCGTTAGAAAGAAACCATAAACAGGACTAGCATATACTTTGTGTTTTTGGAGGATGCATTAACTGATGAGCAGGGATGTATTCTTGATTGTATTAATCAAAGCAAGAAAGAACACATATTGGAGCCTCTCATATGCAGATATCATTCAACAATAATATAACTATTAACAATTTAGGCATAAGAATGGAACTTACAGTCATTATTCGTTTGCGCTGCTACAAGTAAAATTTGGACAGAAACAACCAGCAAACAGATCTGAATTCTTGAACCCATTATTCAAGAAAGAACCACAGAGATTCTTGAGCTCACTGAATTACAATGAAAACACTTCGCAACCACTCAATTCATTCCTTCAGTTCCTATTATTCACTATAACTCATCAATATAAGAAAGTTCTTCACGACTGTAATCAACATATGCATAGCTGCAATTAGAAACAATATGAAAGCACATGGATACACAAATTATTTGTTCAAGTAATTACAATACAACAATTGCAATCTAATTTTTCCTTCATAGAAAATAAATAAAACAGAATAAACAGCTGAAAGAGTTCTTATGCAAAGTATGCTGCCTCCAATTCAATAATGCAGATTCATATTAACCAGCCTTCAGTTTCTTTTCAATTGAATCAGAGGGAGAAAAGACCATAGATTTGAAAGGGTGGAGAAAAAAAAAAAAAAAGAAAAAACTATTACCTCATCAACTCGATCAAGAGCCCCATTGCCCTGCAACCAATGGCAAAGATAAATTTATAGTATCTAAAGAGTCTGTCAACAAAAAGAAAGGCATTGTAAGAAAAACATACAATAGAGTCCACTAATACCTCCTCAGCATCCTCATTATCATATATCGAGTATCTAAATGCTTGGCTAAGATTATTTGCTAAAGCTGCTACATCAAAATCTCTGTCATGAAGATCATCCTCATCACTATCCCTTGTCCTATCTTGCAATGCAGTTGGGCGCCTGTACATCAAAAAGAAAGAAAATAAATAATTATCAGGAAGTAAAACAGGCCAACAAATATTGGGAGCAGGCTACAAAAGGGAACAAACACAGAAAATACAACGATGGTGGGGATTTTTTTAGTTTAGTAATGTGGGATATCAAAATTTTACTACTGAATCTTGCCAATAGCCATGTCCCCTTCCCTCTTATGCTACTTTTATGATAAAGTGCAATGAACCTCAAATATTTTGGATGCAAAAAGTAGCAACCAGATGGGCTGAGTTTCATCAGAGCAACAAGCATCATCCTGTACTGTGCACTGACATCCTAATCACACTATGCATTAAAACACAATCATAAGCATACCCGCAAGCCCATCTGTAGACATTTTCCACAATATTACGCTCCTGCAAAACAGTAGTTTGCCAATCATTCCATTCGCTATTTTCCTGGAAAGCACAAGTGAGATTTTATCTCAGTCGAGAGATGTGTCCTCCATTCAACAGAACAACACAAAAGTATACTTGCTCAATTTAGCCAACATAAGAAAATTCAATCTCTCTACCATACCAATGTTAGATTCAAGATACAGGAGAACCACTTCAAGCAGGCTTTTACAAGAACCAATTGTAATGAAAAGAAGGAAATTGAGACCTTATCAAGTAAGTCTTACTTAATTGACAATCAACAATAATCATTTGGATATTAATATACCCCTGTTATAGTCGCATTAGGAGGGAGTAAAAAATCAAGATGATGAATATATGAATTTTGTGATCATGTAGCTTACAGAAAATTGATGTCTTCCAGGGTCGTCAGTATCATCTAGATATGAAGATGTATCACACAATACAATCCAGATCCATGGCATTTCAATATGTATCTTTCTCACATATTGTAGGTACAACTACATTGCTAATACGGTGATCATGATCCTGATGTAAAAACTTATTTTTCTGTAAGTAGAACATACATGACTACCCAGAAATCCTGATCCTGATCCTGATCCTGATCCTAATCCATACAGTAATTTAACACTAAGAATAAATTAAACACAATCACCAACCTCTTGGTCAAGGCATTCAAATTTCCATACACTCTCACCCTCGTCCGTTATTTCATTCCACCACCTCAAACCGACCAAGATACGCCCGCTCACATTCTTGACTACCCAGAAATCAAGAGCAGCAAGAAGAACAGTGACCACAAAAATGATGACAAAGCTATCAACAAAGAGAGCTAAAAGTATGTAAAATGCCAAAGCTGCTGCCTGCCAAATCAACTAATTGTGATATTACAAAGAAAAATGGAATTACAATGTACACTAGTAAAAGACATAATTAAATAACCCATACCTTGAAGAGCACATGAAGGAAACATATTTGCGGGTTGGCATACACTGTTGGAAATTTTACATTTAGTGGCGTTTAAAAAACGCCGCCATTGGTGTAAGAAACGCCGCTAATTCTTTTTGTGACGTTTTGTACTAAACGTCGAAGATGCGGCCGTCGCTATAGCATTATGACGCTTTAAAAACGTCGCTAGAAACGCCGCTAAATGTGATAGTATGGTAAAAATGACGTCATCCAATATTTAGCGACGTTTAAAAAATGCCGTGATAGATTTTTTCCTATTTTAAAAATGACCATTGACACTGTAGTGGCGTTTTGGAAAAACGCCGTTATAGCTTCTTTTTTTTATTTTTTTATTTTTTTAAATTGTGCTAATTTTGTTAGATTTAACTAAAAAACATAACTGTAATAAAGCTGAAAAATAACAATAATATGGATAAAACTTTACTGCTATTTTAATATATTGACTACATTTAAGCAAACATTACATGACTATTTCTAAACCAAAATCAAACAACAAACGCAACCAAAAAATAAAAGGAAAAAATATGTAAGCTTTCACCAAGCATCAGCCTTGTGCTTGATCAAGCAAAGAGACCTTTTCCCATACTCCCCATGTCCATTGCAATTACCAGTTGCGAACGCTGTCCAATATCTTCCAATGCTCTGACCATTAATCCATACTTGACCTTTTCCCATACTCCCCATGTCCAAAGCCAGAGGCTCGTCTCCGTCAGGTGCATTGAAATAAGCCTGCAGTGTTGGAAGACAGATTAAACTCGTAATGCCAATGAATCATTTCCCTGTACATACTTAAATTGAGTCTTTCTGAAATTTATTTTTAATTTTATATTCTTTATATACCTTATGCCATGTTAATGGTTGCTGTTTTTGTGCAATCAAAGAACCTTGCATCCAGTCAACAGAGGAAATACCATCAGGGGAGACAAGATTCATGATCTCTCCTTTCAGCCCAACCTGTTTGAAGAGGAATCCATGAGGTGAAATTTCTTTGAATGACCAAAATGTAAATGAGAAATCGGGAGGTAAGAATTTCCAACCTGGTAAGTCCATTTTGCCCAGGACAAGTCCCATTTTCCCTGGTCAAGACCACGCAGTGCGACTGGACCTAAGACTCCAGTGTTCCATGTCTCGTAATGTCCACCAACATTCTTCAATGATGAATATAAATAATGTCAGAAAAGAAATACTCTAATTACTAAAAGTAATAGGTGTTTACAGCCTATTAAAAAACTCAGGTCACGGTTTGATTGAATAAAATCACTGTGGTACACAATCACTTCAAAATTGGTAATTACTGAAAAGCTCTGATACACAATAATTTTTTAGTGCTACATGTTCTCATCTCACCTAGAGTCCATATACTTGCATAATTCAGTCAATATAGTAGAGTAACCTAAGAAACAATATTAAGATCGGTCGAGGCCATATTTAGGGTCATTATGGTACTTAATGGACCATTGTAGTAGAGTAACCTTATAGTACTTAATGGACCATATCTCAAACCCAAAAGTAAAAACAAAACAAGACGTTAAATGTTTTAAACCTGATCAGTCTTGATCACCAAATGACCATATCTCAAAGTTTTCACACTGTCATACTGTTTTCCATGCTGAAGTCCAAGAATCTGCTTGATGCTCTGAATTTCAGCGTTTTCCATGATCTGTTTATGGCTTGCTTCCCTCACATTAAGCAATTTACCTCTCAATGGGAACACACCATAATAATTTCGACCCACAACAGAAATTCCTGCCATCTATATATACTCAAATCAGTTAAAAACTCTAAAACAAAACCAAACTCAACTGAAACTACTTAAATAGCTAGACAACTTACCGCAAGTGCCGCTTGCTTTTCTTACTATCATCAAGACTGTCCCCAAAAGTAAATCCATGTACTCTCTCAAGATCTGCACAATTAATCATATAATATATAATTCAATTTGGCAAGAGATGTGTAAATGTTGGTGCATATAACCAAAAAAGGAGGAAAAAGAGAATAAAATAAAAATTGGTAGCATGACTAACTACAAAGCACAAGAAATCAAAATTACAGTCAGAGACAAATAATGTGAAGATGTCCATCTCCATATTTATAACATTAACATCAATTTTATATATTGATAACATCCACTAGCTCCCAGTGCACACTGTAGTATCTTAACCAGAGAGAGAGAGAGAGAGAGAGAGAGAACTGCACAAAGACATAAATTTAGGAATCCAAATCCCTACAAGTCAAACAACTACTAACATGTGAAAGTTGGTCAATCTATACCATCTTTAAAAATGAGAATACAAAAACCATCAATATTTGGAAACATATACATTCCTGTTCATTTAGATTTCTGTCATTCCATCATTATGTTAGAGAATGGAATCATGTCACAAGGAATGTGAGCCTAATAATTGCTAATACTTCTGTAGTAAGCTTTCAAATATATTGATTCTCACAGTAAACAGAAATAACAAAGTCCAAATCCTTACAAAAATGCTCAGCTACTGCAGAGATCCTATTGTCTCTGGAATTGGACCACTGAAACCGCAACTAACCAGGATTCTGAGATGCAAGTAGAAGTAATTGGTTTGTAACGGGGTACTGACCTTAGTAATCAGCAGATTCAGCATAGTGTAACAACAATAAAAAAAAAATTACAGCCTTGATAACTTAGTCAAATTTCCAATTGTTTGAGGAAGAGATCTTGTCAACCCAGTGTTGAATGATAGATCCCTATATGCACAAGCTGATAGTCAGAAGTTACTTTTAACGATTCTTATGTGGAAGTAAAGAGGAGAATAAACAAAGACATTTCCAAATAGCTATTATTAATAAAGCAGGGTACACTGTCTAGGTAGAGTATAGAAGCCTCAGTTTGTTTCAATACAAATGAAACCTAACAGAATTGAACACAAATGAAGGTTATGTAATTACTCCTACTATATGGTTATGATGTAAACAAAAAACCTCAGTTTCAGACACATTAGAACAACATACCAATAACAGAAACCTAAAGTCCACATGAAAAACTTCAAAATCTTCCGTAGTAAGCTTTCAAATATATTGATTCTCACAGTAAACAGAAATAACAAAGTCCAAATCCTTACAAAAATGCTCAGCTGCTGCAGAGATCCTATTGTCTCTGGAATTAGACCACTGAAACCGCAACTAACCAGGATTCTGAGATGCAAGTAGAAGTAATTGGTTTGTAACGGGGTACTGACCTTAGTAATCAGTAGATTCAGCATAGTGTAACAACAATAAAAAAAAAAATTTTACAGCCTTGATAACTTAGTCAAATTTCCAATTGTTTGAGGAAGAGATCTTGTCAACCCAGTGTTGAATGATACATCCCTATATGCACAAGCTGATAGTCAGAAGTTACTTTTAACGATTCTTATGTGGAAGTAAAGAGGAGAATAAACAAAGACATTTCCAAATAGCTATTATTAATAAAGCAGGGTACACTGTCTAGGTAGAGTATAGAAGCCTCAGTTTGTTTCAATACAAATGAAACCTAACAGAATTGAACACAAATGAAGGTTATGTAATTACTCCTACTATATGGTTATGATGTAAACAAAAAACCTCAGTTTCAGACACATTAGAACAACATACCAATAACAGAAACCTAAAGTCCACATGAAAAACTTCAAAATCAAAAATCCAAGTGCTCTGTAGTCAAAGCCCCTAGTTTATTTCTATTGAATTGGAATAAACTCACTATTGAAATAAACTCCATCACTGAATACCATATTTGACAACTCACTAAAATAGTTTATTTCTATTAAAATTTTAAAAAATCGGATATTCACTACAAGAGAGATTGAAATCGATCGAACCTTTAGACGAAATCGAACTGCTTGAAGCTCGGTGAGACGGCGTAGAGATCAAGGAGAGAGAGAGAGAGATAAGAGGCAGGAGAAACATCGTAGGATTAGGGTTTGATAAGAAGATCAATCATGGAATAGAAGGAGGGGTGGTGTATGTACCTGAAGGATGAGGTCGTCGTAGATATCAGTGATCTTGTTGTAGGATTTGGAAGCCATTGCGTCGCTGTGGATCGCTCACGATGGTGTGATCTCGGCCTAGGACTCGCTGTGGATCACTCACGATTGCGTCGCTGTGAACCTTTAGAGAGATTTGGGGATAAGGTAACAGAGGCGCCGAAATGAGATAGTTTAGAGGCAAATTTGAACATTGGCGAATTTGGGAGGGAGATAAAATATTAGGTGCTGTTTGGTTGATTTTTTTTTGGAAAATATTTTTTAGAATTTTTGGTTTTAATTTTTTAAAAATTGAGTTTTTTATTTTTTATTTTTATTTTTACTTTTAGAGTGTATTTTTAAAATTTTAAGCATTTTTTTAGATTTGTTTAGATTTATCTTACTTAGATGTATCAAAAAAGTAAAATATTTGTCAAGAAATATTTTAAAAAATTAATAAATACACAAGAATACAAAAAATGTAATGATTTCTCAAAAAAAATTATTTTTAGTACGCAGTGAATTTTTTAAATATTTTTCACAAATATTATACTTTTAAAGTGTATTTATGTTTGGTATATCGAAATTTTTTTAAAAACATTAGAATATAACATTTAATGGAAATAAAAAAATACGGAAAATAAAAAATTTCAATTTTCTGAAAAGTGAATACTAAAAATCCAATCCAAACCAAAGATGAGTGAGACAGACAGAGAGAGAGATAGAGAGAAGAGAGATGAGTGAGAGAGATAGAGAAAGAAAAAAGATGAGAGAGATAGAGAGAAGAGAGATGAGCGAGAGACAAAGAGAAAAAAGAGACAGAGATAGAGACAAGAGTGATGTATGAGAGAAAGAAAAAGGAGAAAGAGACAAAGACAGAAAGAGATAGAGAGTGAGAGACAGAAAAAGAGACAGAGAGAGATGAGAGATGAACGAGAGAGACAGAGAGAGATAGAGAGAAGAGATATGAGCGAGAGACACAGAGAGATGAACGTGCGAGAGACAGAGAGAGAGAGAGAGAGAAAGAGAGAGAGAGAGAGAGAGAGATAGAGAGAAAAAAGATGAACGAGAGAGACAGAGAAAGAAAAGAGATGGAGAGAGATGCGAGAGAGCGAGAGAAGAGAGATGAGCAAGACAAATAGAGAGAAGAAAGATGAATGAAAGAGACAGAGGTAGAAGAGAGATAGAGATAGAGACAGAGACAAAGACAGAGTAGGAAAGAGAAAGAGAGACAGAGATAGAGACAGAGAGAAAAAGAAACCCATTTCATTTTTTGACTTTTTCATCTTTCAACAGTAATGGGCTTAGAGAAAGAGATGAGTGTGATTGAGAGAAATAAACGATTGAGAGAAAAGAGAGATGAGTGAGAGACAAAGAGAGATAGAGAGAAAGAAAAAAAGCGAGAGATAGACACACACAGGGAGAGAGAGAGAGAGAGAGAGAGAGACAACTAAAAGAAATGAACAAGAGATAGAGAAAGAGACATAGAGAGAGAGAGAAAGAGAGAAACAAGAGTGATGAGTGAAAAAGAGACAGAGAGATAGACAGATAGAGAGAGAGAGAGACACAGAGAGATAAGAGATAGAGACATAAATAGAGAGAAATAAGAGATGAGTGAGAGATAGACAAAGAGAGAGAGAAAGAGAACGAAAAGAGATGATCGAGAGAAAGACATAGAAAAAGAGAGAGATAGAGAGAGAAGAAAGATGAGTAGGAAAGACAAAAAGAGAGATAGAGAGAAGAGAGATGAATGAGAGAGACAGAGAAAGAAAAAAATGAGAGAGATAGAGAGAAGAGAGATGAGCGAGAGACAAAGAGAAAAAGAGACAAAGACAAAGACAAAGACAGACAGATAGAGAAGAGTGATGAGTGAGAGAGAGAAAAAGAAGAGAGACAAAGAGAGAAAGAGATAGAGAGTGAGAGTCAGAAAAAGAGACAGAGGGAGAGGAGATGAACGAGATAGACATAGAGAGAGATAGAGAGAAGAGAGATGAGCGAGAGAGACATAGAGAGAAAATAGACGAACGAGAGAGACAGAGAGAGAGATAGAAATAAGAGAGAGATGAGCAATAGAGACAGAGAGAAAAGAGAGATGAGAGAGAGCGAGAGAAGAGAGATGAGCAAAAGAGATAGAGACAAGAAAGATGAACGAAAGAGACATAGAGAAAAAAGAGATGAGAGAAGAGATAGATGAGTGAGAGACACAGAGAGAGAGAGACAGACAAATAGACAGACAGACAGAGAGAGAAGAGTGATGAGTAAGAGAGAAAAAGAGAATAGAGAGAGGAAGATGAAAAAATGGGTGAAAAGAGACAGACAAAGAGAGAGAGAAAAAAGAGCGAAAAGAGATAAACGAGAGAGATACAGGGAGAGATGGGCGAGAGAGATAAAGAGAAGAGAGAGAGAGAGAGAGAGAGAGACGAGATGAGAGAGATAGAGAAAAAAGAGATGAGTGAGAGACACAGAGAGAGAGAGACAGAGAAGAGTGATGAGTGAGAGAGAGAAAGAGAAGAGAGACAAAGACAAAAATAGAGACAGAGATAGAGACACAGAGAGAAAAAGAGAGACAGATAGATAGAAAGAGAGAGAAAGAGTGATGAGTGAAAGTAAATTTTTATTTTTATTTTTCTTTCAGCGACGAAAATATTTTAGTTGCCAAAACTATAGATACGGCGACCAAAATAATTTTTAATCGCTGAAATTAAAGTTTTGCCGACCAAACTTTTGGTCGCGAAATATAAAAAAAAAATTTGTATTTTTCTTTCAGCGATAAAAA